CTTGAATGATTTAATGCTTTAATAATTATTTTTTTGTAAGATGAAAGAAGACTATAATTTATTAGTTTACCAAGTCCTTTAAAAATTATAATTACACTTTCCCATGTACTTGCTATCTACAAATGAAATATTTTAAGGTTAATTCTATTTTTATTATATATTCAATTAAATATTGTAGAATATTCATCAATTAAATGAATATTATATCAACTAAATATAAAACTATATTAAAAAGTATGTGTATACCTCTTTATGTAGCATTTCTAATTCAGATTGAAGCATGAGTTCAATAGCAGGTTTACAAACGAGCAAATATAATATTGCTTTTTCTGCATTATATCCATAGATAGTAATAATTACTGCTGACAGTGCTTTAAGAGCACGTTCACATTCTTTAGTTTTTTTATGGGATAAAAAGTACATGACAAGATCCACGATAAGATGTATAATAGATGGAACTTCTGTATTCGCTGAAAGTTAGATTGAAAATTAAATATTTATCTTATACATTCATTAAGGTTGTTTCTTTCCAAACTTCCGTTAAATCAGTAACATACCCAATAAAAGCTTATAGTTGATAGTTTTCAGCAAAATGTCTAAACAGTTTAAAATAAGATTAGAAGACCCTCCATTTTCTGTTAAACAATGTTGCATAATACTTGCAATATTTAACAAAATTTCGTTTGATTTTACTGTTGTTATAAGATCTGTTCGCATTTCGAAATGCTTATATAAACATTTCCAAGCCTTTGCTACTTCTTGAACCTACCATAAATAGCATACAAACTAAGATAAAAGTTTATATATGTAATTTAGAAGTTATGAATTATTTAATAAAATTAACCTGTTTGTGGTCCTCCAAATGTATATACATAAATGGAAATGCTACAATAGATTCAACAGTTTTAAAGTTATGTTCTGTAGTACTTCCTTCATTAATTTCTTGTATATCACTCATGTATTCTCCTAATACACATGCCAAAATAAACCATAATTCAAGAATAACAGATCTGGAAAATATTGTAAAAATAATAAAAAGGTAAGATAAAATTAACTTTATAATTAATATTAATTACTATTTTAAATTGCCTATAACTTACTCATTTTTATCTTCTGCATTTAATAGTAAGTATATTTTTTCATGCATTTCTTTCAGACAATTAAATGCATGTAAATAATACACGTTTTTCTTTTGAGACTTAATACATTGCCAAAAAAGACATTTTAATGCTTTATAATGATTCCTTAAAGAGACAGTTATAATATATTTCAGTGCATCTTTTTATAACAATAACATATGTTGCACTAGTATTAGTACTAATATATATTTGTATCAATACTCACTTTTCAGCTTTATTTAGAATTGATGTTTGTAGAAATTTGAATACCAATTTTGACAATGTATCATCTTGAAAATCAAAATCTGTACTTAAATCAGCAATTTCAAATAAGATTGTGTCAAGAATCAAATCTTTAATCATTGGTTTATCCCCAGCATAGTTTGTTAATTCTGTAATAACTCGTGTCATATCTTTATACATAATTTCCTGTAAAATATCATTTAGCAATTATTTTATATAAATGTATTTTAAAACAGTCATGTATTTTTCATTAATAATATTTAAACCAACCTTTTCTGCAACTTTTGATTCTGATCTAATTTTAATTTTTACATAACTGACCAAGCTTGTCCATAGTATTTTACCAAATTGATATCTGTTTTTCATTTCTGCATTTGTAAGTTGGCTCAGTACAAGCAGAGCTTCTCCTACACTGTGAATTATACTTTTATAACATTCTCGAAAGACAACATCAGATATAGGATGCGGAAGTCTTTCTTCCAAAATTGGAGCAGTATAACTATCTTGTTTTGTGACAAGAAGTTGACATAAAGCATCCACAGCAACAACTTTTGTTTTAAAAAATCTTTTTCCTGGTGAGGCTACCACATCAAACTTTGAAGATAATAATGGTGTATCTCCAAGAGGTCCAAAACAAAAATTTAAAAACTGTGTGATTACAGGATTAACAAATTTTTGAATGTCTTTATAAAGCTTAATAATTACATGCCACCAAACTTCTAACTTTGTTAATGCTATTAATTCAGTTTTACTATTTTTGGCATTCAATGGAATGCATAACAATTTTACTCGTCTAGCAGTAGCAAGTTCTTGTGGGTCTAAAGCAAAATTGTCCACCAGTAATTTCCATGAAAGAAATGCTTGCCTGTACCATAAAATATTATCATCATTATTTCTAATTTTTAATGAAAAATATAATTATTGATATAAGCGTTATATATACCTGCGTATAATTGTATCTGTAGATTTAAATGCTTTTTCTTCAACACTTAATAAATTATTTATTAAACCAGCACCACGATGGAGGTCCACACCAAGAAACTGAATACTAACATTCCATTGTGTAGCCCAATCTAATTCACATGTAGATACTAAAAGTAACATACGTTTGCAGTATGTAGACTGTAACGTTGCTATATAACGAGTCCATGCAGGTGCTAGTTTAGTACGAACATGTGATACTATATTTGTAGCTAAAGCTTGTTGTAAAAGTTTTAAAGCAGGACCTCTTTGTCTTTTATGACCCATATAAGCTAACAGTATTACTTTATCCATTAACAGGGCATGAAACTGTAAAGACATTCAATTTAGTATTTTTATATTTTTGTAATATTACAAATATTGCTTACATACTCTTTGAACTTTAATATCTGATGTTGTTGCAGCCACTTTATACAATCTTCTTAATAAAGTTATACAATAGTTAATTGTTTCTTCTTCTACCCTTTGGTCATCTGATAGTGGCTTACTTTCTGCATCTATCAACGCTTGTAGATTATCTACGCATGCATTTGATGCCGTCCATGGCATTGTATTTGTTTGTATTGTACACATACAATTATTAAAGAAGTTTACAGCATATGCGTCATAAGCAAATGTTGATATAGCATTGTCTTCAACTACCTCTAATAACTTAAGAATTTTTAATCTGAAATTGCAATGATTGAAAGAAGTTACTGAAATTATTAATGCTTACATAAACCAATAAAATTATAGTTTACCACTAACAAAAACTATTAAAATTTAAAATTTTATATAAACAAACCTATTTTTTGGACTTATCTGCCACATAGCTTCAAATAAATTTAAAGTATGATCTTTGAAGTCCTGAATAACTACATTTAATGTTTCATATGCTTCATTCTGTATGTCATTATTTCCATTTGCAAATGCATCTATAACCAGTTTACATAATTCCTTATATTGCTCTTCTTTAATAGATTTTGTAGATTCTAATTTTTTACTGTTACTGAAAGTAACATAATTATTAGCAAGTTTAACAAAATCTACATATTACAATACAATATATTTTATATAAAAAAGCTAATAATATTATTATAATTAAAATATGATATGGTATAAATAAAATAAGGTAATATATATATATATATATGAATTTACAGATAAGAATATCAAAATTCGTACCTGCGGATATAGGTTAAAGCTTCACGTTTTTCCTTGATATTGCTATTTTCCCGCAGCATTTTCAGCATTCGCGGGAAAGATTGCATGTTAGAAGCCATTCTACAAATCTTCGTCTTTCAAAGAATTACAATGGAATTTCGTTCATCTCATCAAAAATGTGTTTACGAAGAATTTTCCACGAAAATTAAAATAAGATGTTCTGCGCTCTTACTAATATATCACACGAAATTAAAATGAAATCGTTTACTGATTCCTTTCGGAAATCTTTTTTTATAGACATTCGATATCTGCAAAGACTATCTCCTACAAACAGCCGAGAAAACAGGTTGTAGTAAGCAATTATTAAGTATTAGTACGCATTAATACACAGCGCATATTGCCACACACCTTCTACTTCAGCTCTTTCTTCATTTCTCTGTTTACGTTTTCCTTTCTCCTACCTTTTTTTCCCTCTCCCCGCTTTTTTCTTTGTGTCAGGAAACCACAATGCAACCAACGAAAACAAGTTTTGTTTTTGGAAAGAGATACAATTGGGTATACAACAGTTTAACGTTTCACATTCCCGGCGAGTTTGCAAAGTGCACGTAAACTTCAGATACCGTTTTCAATAGATTTTCGCTACATCTAATCAAGGAATTATGTTAATTATTAAGACAAAAATATCCTTTATTTTGTTACGTATCTAAATTATAGAGGCACTTTGTAAACTGCGTAATACAATTCGAAAAATGCGTATCAGTAAAAATCGTCTGTCCGCCAAAATATGTATCCCTACCACGTGATGCTCAAATATTAAACTAAAACTGAAGTTGACTCGACTCACTCGACTGTGACGCACTAATGTACATTGTAAATTGTAATGTACAGATCCACGACTATGTAGGTAGAACAAAGATAAAATTGAATATTTGTTTAATGCTATTTAAAAACATTAACAATTTCTATTTATAAGCAAAATATTATTTGACTTTATTTAAATATGAATTTTAGCAGGTTCAATTCAATTATTTATATTTATAACTTTTATATTTGCTTGAAATAATTTTTAAAAAGCTTTGTACTTCCTTTATATGCTACTTCAATGCACGTACTTACCATGTACGCGTTTGTTGTACTTCCTCCCAAATATACACATCAAACAAATTAAAAGAAAATACCAAATTTATAGTAATTAGATTTGAACTTTTGTATTCGTAAATAAAGTATTTGAAATAAATTGAAATATTTCAAACATAATTTTTTCTAGAAATCATTAGAAATAATAAGAAATTGATTTACAAACATTTATTTAATTTACTTTTAAATTAGAGTTATTCAATTATAAAAAGTTAAAAAATAAAAATATCATTTTTATTTATAAATGTATTTTATTATAAATTTTATATCCATTAAAAATTTCACTTTTATGTCATTTATTGGTACAAGTAAATACTCAATTTATTTAAAAATTACGTAGATAAACTTAGTTCTGTATAGTTAAATAATAAAATGCAATCATATAAATATTTTATTTAAAAATCTATGTTATACATATATCAAATCATGAAAGGTCCATATATATATAAAATAGTAATTGTATCTATTTTTACAATAGTTTATTATACTATCAAGTTAAGAACACAACCATAGTCGTACACTATTGTCCCTACCTTGTGGTAGGCTATCACAAAACCTTTGTCCTGTACTGGTAGCAATGATGGGTAAACTTTTGTGCAAGCTTACACCATTTATACAGTCACATGATAATTTTATTTTATGTGATGCATTAAGATCTTCGCAATTTGAACTTTGTGGTAATTTCCAAATTTTAATATCTCCATTTGTACCACCTAAAAAATTTAAAATAATAAGAGGAATTATCTTTGCAATAATATAACATATTTTAATAATTATTTATTAACATACCCGAAACTATTTCATCTCCATTAGATGTAATGTCAAACTGAATTCTCTGATTTGTATCAGACTGGCGTCCTTCAAGGGAGTACAGAACATTACCTGGGTTACGCAAATCCCAACATAAAAATTCATTACTACGCCTAACTACAGAAAATAATTTTGTTCCACAAGGGCTAAATTCAATTTGAGTCACTCCGCTTCCTGTTTTAAAAGTACATAATGGCCCATCTCTATATAAACCTAACAAAAGTATATAAGTGAATTATCAGAATTATATTGTTAGCATTAGTGATATTTTCATAATGAAATATAATCGATATCATTTACTTACCAATGTTCTTAGAATATGTACCAAAAGCAACTAATCCTGGCATAATTGGATTTTCTCGAATACAGGAAACTAGACCTATTACATTTGGAAAATCTCTTTTAAATTGAATGGTATTTATTTGGCGACCTGGATGTTCCACATTAAACACTCTTAAAGCATTTTTGAAGCCAGCCCATACTTCTTTAGCAGAGTCAATAAATTGAATACTAATTGCAGCTTCTACTTCATCAACTCTAACAACAGAATAGAATATTTAATAAAAACTTAATGAAAATATAAATATATTGGTAAACTATTTATATTACTAACTGATTATAAGCTCGATAAGTTGCTCTTAATTCACCATTAAAAGCATCCCATAAATGTATAGGACTTTCTTTACTTGTACTTAAAAAGCAACAACTTGCAGGTTCCCATGAATTCATAAAAGGATACCAACAAGCATCATATATAAGTCCTCCTTCTTTTACTGTTAAAGCTGCTGAAAATTTTGTGGATGATAAATTTGAAGGAATTTTTTCAGAATATAATTCTGTAGGGAGTTCATAAATTCGAATCCTAAAATCTTCAGAAGGTACTAGTAAACATGTTTTATCAGGAGACCACTGACAACCCTTTGTAAAATTTTCATATGATTCAGTTGTCTGATATTCTGCAGTTGCTTCGCATAATAATCTTGGAGAATTATTCCAATTGTAATAAAACCAATTGGTTGAGTATGTTTCTTCTATATTTTTTATAGCTTCAATTTCACTAGTAAGTAGCAAGCTTTCATTGTTTCGTACTTCTGATATTTTCCTTGTAATATCTTCCTCTAATTTTTCTGTTACTTCTGGTATTTTCCCTGTAATATTTTCTCTTATCTTTTCCGCGACTACTGGTATTTTCTCTGTAGCACCTTCTCCTTTTCTCCCTCTTAAAATTTCTTCTTTTTGAAAATCTTGTGACACTTTTGTGTCTTTGAAAATTGATGATTCTTCAATCGCCACTGATTCTGGCTAAAATATACAATAAAATAGAAAGTACTATATTAATAAAAATTTAATAATTACTCTATAAATTTTTTATAAATTCATCAAGAAAATATTAATTTTAAGTTTTAAGATTTACCGTATCTACAACAGGTTTTGTAGTTGTTTCTGTATCTTCACAACATTCCATTGTGAATAATGAATGAAAACATTACCTTTTTACCTTATTATATTTAAAAAGGTACATATTTTATATAATTCAAACTTGTAAACATTAAAATATTTATAAATTGTAAAATATGTTTACAATTTATAAAATAATACATAAATCAAAAGAATTGTTTTTATATATATTGTATCTGTTACGGCATAATAAATTATTTCCTATATATAATAAATTATTTCAGTATATTATGTTCTACTGTCATCTGCATGTGTTGATCGTTCATAAAACTAGAATTAAACACCATATATGAAATGAAAAGCGATTTAACTGAAAAATAAACAATGCCACATAGGGATATTTTATTTTTACTTAACTGTAAATTCTATAAATTACCAGAATAAAACTTTATGTATTAAAATACGACCGTGGTATCAAGTATTAATTACCAAAGATACAATTGCGATAGAAAGCCACGTGATATTTCAAAATACTATATATCGGTAAAGAAAATGAGGGGCTCACTCCTTCATCAATGCTACAAATGGCTATCAGTGACGTTACGATACGCGGCAAAGACAAAACGGAAATACAATTCTTTTCATATTTTGTAACTTTTTCAATGAAAATTAACTACTAAAAGAATCTTGTATCTTTTCCATTATCTTTTACATATGTATATTAAAAATTAAAATTTTAAGCAAATCCTGTTTAATCCATAATAGAATCTTTTTTAGTGAAGCGTATCGTTAGCTATAAATTTACACGTATTTTAAAGTTTGTTGGTAAACACAACATCTAAATCAAATGTAACGTTTTTTGTCCCGAAATAGTATAGGATTTACATTCCATCCCTTAGTAAGCAGTCAGCAATCATAAAGAAAAGTTGAAATGATGGAAAGTTGGGATCGTAAGTGATAAAATGTTTTAATAGAAGAAAAATGAGTAACAAAAATTACTTTAAACACATTACTTCTAAACAAAATGTTATACAGTATAAATATTGTTTAATATAATTGTATATAACAAACATACAACTTAATTTCAGTTTTAAAATTGAAAATTAATTAATGAAGTACTTTTTAATAAGAAAAGCTTTCTTTTACCTTACTCAGGTGAATCAAACTCTAGTACAGAGTACTATGATGCAATTGAATTTCAAGAAGAGCATAGCCCAATAAACAAATTCGGAAAAAGACGAAGTACATCGTTACCGAACATAAATTTACAAGGTTTGTGTTATTGCTATATTTATTCTCCTAATATTATATCTATATAGAATGTAATTATAACTATTTTCTACTTTATTGAGGAAGAAACACTGGAAGTTTCACCTAGAATCGATACGAAACCCATAAGACCAGTTGCCGTTTTAAAGCAATTATATACGTATTCTGCAATTAGTAAGTAGACTTAAAGTATTTGAATTTTAAATATAACAAAATAAATACGAAAGAGAAATTTCTTAACGCCAAAGTTATTTCTCAGTATAAAAGCTAATAATAATCTATTATATGTATATTAACATTTAATCTTTTTTAGAATCAAATATAAAGCGGTCAGCGTCATTAGTAAATAAAACGAGAAGAAAACTAAAGCCATTTATAACTATAACACCTGCGACGCCATTGTAAATGTTAAATTAAAAAGTTAAGTCATTTATTGAAATAAATATTTAAATTTTATTTATATTTATTTTATGAAAACTACATATATATATATATATATATGTTCGAACACTTGAACACTACTCATTATTAGCTCTGAATACGAATGTTTCTTATTTTTTTTTTCAAAACACTATAGTACCAATCACAAAATGTATGAAGGATAAAAGCTGATTAATTCGTAATTTTTTCAGATATGAAACATGCATTGCGTTTTTCATTATTAGTGTATTGTAATAGTTAGTTTTAATAGAAAATTGTGCTTCCCATTTATATTATATGATATTAAGAATAGTAAGATAGTAAGAATAGATAGTAAGAATTATATGATAATTCTTACGTATAGTGCACACTGAATATGTACTTAACATATTTTTTATATTTTTCAGATGTATAACTTAAAGAGTAAAAATCTATAAAATCCTGGTTACATCGTGTAGGTTTTCTTTGTAAACTAGAGTAATAAAATTCAAGCAGATTTAAAAAATCTAGAATCCTAATAGGTGATAAAAGACATATTGATAAGTATAGGTTATATATTCTATCAATTTTATAATACAAGGATATTCAAATACGTTTTACAAGTACATATTGAGCTATTGTGGATATTGGTAACGAAATAGGTTTTTAGAATTATTTGTATGGCTTCTCAACGCGAGAATTGATTGTAATTTCAACAAATAAATAAAAAAAAAAAAATTTGTATGGCTACACTCCATGAACTATAAATAGCACATTACTAAGAGAGGAATTATTTAAAATAGTAAGAAGGGATTATTTAAGAAATATTTTATTGTTGAACCGTGGATAAATAAAATAATAAATAGGTGATTAATCGAATAATTGTATCAGAATATCTTTTTCTAATTTTATGAGAATGTTTAAAAATTTAAATTTAAAAAGTTGAATTTAATCAAATGTTTAACTATTTTCCCTCTTGTTCATATATATATATATATATATATGAACTATATGCAACAATTGTTTTATTTTGAACTATAACATTTTTCAATTCGCGTAATGTTCAGAAGAGTTTATTACAGATTTTTTAGTCAGTTTTATTATATTCCTATACATTGTATTTATATTCTTACATTGTATTACATTCTTATATATTGTATTCTTATACATTATATTGTATCTTAAAAATATCTTTATTTTTATTATTATTACATTATTAGGAGCATTTTTTAGGAGTATATTTTTTACTCATTTTTAAGTTTTTTTAATAAACATTTTAAAATTTTTAATAAATATAAGAAAATAAAGGTAATGTAGTCGTGATTTACTGCGTGATTTAAAGGTAATAGTGATTTATTGCGCTGTCAAGATAATGGATTTTAGACCTTAAGAATCCAACAACTACGTTTTAGTCTTCTTAAAGAAATTCTACAGAATAGACTCATGCATACTTTGTACCATTTGACCCATGCATATCTTTTGTGTCCTTGGCGAAAATTCCTTTTACAGTCCAAGCAGGTATAATTACAGAAAGGAATTAAGGAAATACTGTTGGAACAAAGGTTTCCAGTGTTGTAGCAGATGTGTCGAAGTGGTCAAAATTTCACTCTGCGACTCATAAATTTTAACAACTTCATGGTATTATTGCTGAACTGACAAGTAGATTGTTACTTGTACCGTTAATTTAAATGCAGGCTATATTTGACCATAATTGTTTGCTAAATCACAAAGACAAGTCTCCGAAAATACTTGTTTCATTTATTCTAATTGTTATTGTTATAAATATATATCTTACTCTTCTAATATAACATTAACAAGCAAAAATATTACCTAGTAAGAAAAGTATATAATTCATTAAATAAAAATAATTTTACTTCTTAATATAACTTTACTTCAAATCTCTATTTATAACTGAAATTCAATATATATGTATAGTTATATATTCAATATAAATTATTTATAATTATTTATAATATTATTTCAATTATTTATAATATATGTCTTGATATATTTTATGTTACAATTGTTAGAAGTTCGACATTTTTAAATTCTTCATAATAATGAAAACTTTCTCCCGAAGTTCAGCGGAAATTGCAATCCTGTGCTTTCTTACACACCCACAAAAGTAAGAATTTTTAAAGCCTCCGATCTTTGTCCTTCGACCCCATGCCATAAATGCATAGTAAAAGGTACAATAATCCGTAACAAACATCTGCACTCGGTGTTTTCGGGGAAATTCTGGAAAAGTCTTTCAAATGGGATGTACTTGCAGGCCTCAGTAAATACTTTGTGTACAATGGCATTTTTCTTAGCTTACGCGTTAAGAACCATAAAGGTATAGGAATATAGAAAAATAATTTTATTTTTATTTAAAAATTATTTACTCCACTTTGTTTAGAATTTTTCATAGAATATTAAGTTTCTACGATCTTCGAAATTTTATGTCGCAATCTCGTTCTTATTTCGTGAAACAAGAAGGCTCTCAATGTTTCAGGAGAAAATTTGACATAAAATTGAAAGAAGTTGTGATTCGATTTTCCAATTTGCAACGATGTTTAATTCTTAAAAAAGAAAGAACAATATCTATTTTTTGACGACGATTGAAAAAATTTTTTTTAGAAGATTGCCAGAACTGATTGGAAAGTTTCTTAAAAGATTTTTTCTTTTTTTTATTTATTTGTTGAAATTACAATCAATTCTCGCGTTGAGAAGTACTTTAAATTGACCAGAAAAAAGACGTTATAACTGTATAGTTAATATATATAAATTATATAAAAAATAGATATAATTGTATCGTATATAGGCAGCGATAATTTTTAAATTTTTCTGTTATAACGTATATTTTTCAAGCAGAATTATCAGTTTCTGAGTAAATTGATTCCTGTATAAGGGACGATTCGCACATATACTTCTCATCTTCTAAATAACTTATATAGGAACGTATATACAAATAAGTATTTCTACATTTTACATGCTATAACTATTTATCTATAAGTACAAAAATTCTAACGTTCAATTTTGCAACAATTTAAAATCGAATTCCTTTATTTTATAGGTGAGGAAATAATCTCTTTGCACGAAGTACCAAGCAGTTCCTTTACATTATGAGACAAAGGCGTCACAGACATAACTAATTTTCATTTCTTCTATCATGATACGTTAAACATTGGCAATATATACTTTGACGCTGGAAAGCGTTATCGTCAAATTAAACTGACGAACGAACGAATTCGCCAATGAGAGAGGACATAATAAGCTACTTACGTAAATGGGAACCGTGAATTTTAACATGAAGGTGAATTCCGTTTACGCGCTAGAATGGCGCACGCGCATTCTATATTGCGTATAGGAAATACGTAAGTACGTAGGGAGAGAGAGAGAGAGAGAGAGAGAATGGGGAGGAAAATCGAGAAGAGTAGCTGGAACGTCGATGAACGAACCACCCCCGCGTGGTGGTCTCTTTTGGCGCGTGGGTGCTTCCAAGGTCATCGCAAGAGCGAAACTGCTACGACGCCTTCGTCGCGACGCCCGCGCATAAAGCGTGGGTGGAGACTATATACGCGTGTACTTATGTATAGCTAGCGCTACACGCCGTTTCAATTCATCGAACTGGTCCATTCACGAAAAGTTTCAACTATCCTATCCTCGAAAATTCATGACACAACGAACGTTACAGCAGCCTTGGCCGATCGAAACTTCCAAATTTCTCTCATAATAAATTTTGAGATATATCGGACCTCGGTGCGAAAAAAAGCTCCCAACTTTCCTTCTGGAAAGTTGGCTACATCGTGGTTTACTACAGTGTCTGTTGATGGAAAGTTTGACGCTTCGAGAAAAATTCGTTCCACCGAATTTCGTCATGGTGGTCATTGGTGCAAAGTTTTGGGCAAAGAAAGGAAAGGTTACTCTATAACGTAGAATTTTACATGAAAACTTTCGTTTCAAAGATTCAATCTTATCGGTCGATAAGCTGTTTATAAATGTAGCTATCTGATTGAAAAAAATGTATTTTTTTATATTTTTAATATTATTAGAATATTTCATATACTTTGAACATTTGTACTTTCCTGCAGATTTCAAAATTATTAAATATTCTGCTAATCACATTCATAATTCGTACACGTTATTATTAAAATGTCAGTTTGCTGCATCGGGCTTCTGACATCAGGCATTGTTTGTTCATATCAAAATACATAAACAGTTTATAGAAATTTATTCTTTCTTTGTTGTTTATTAAAATTACAATCAATTCTCGCGTTGAGGATCAGTCTATAGAAATGGCTACATTAAACAGGCATAATGTTATTACGTTATTATGTGCTTATTCAGCGTTAGTGAAAGATAATTTATTCGTAACAGTACTGTACAGTAACAGTGACATGATAATATCCTTTAAATTAATATACTTCGATACAGACTTATTCAATTTGAGACAGTTACAATTTATTTAATTACATAAACTAATGTGGTAGAGCGAAACGTACAGTATATTTTGAAAGATATTAGTCTGTCTAGATACTTTGTATCTTTTTATTGTATGAAGGAATTAACTGTTTGCGTTAGACGTGATCTTGCCAAAAACAATGACTTTATACTTTTCTGCTAAATCCGCCCACATGTGCACCCACAACTATGTAAGCACTTAGGTACGCCCACGGATTGCCTCCTGTATCCTACAACTCACTAAAAAGTTTTGATCAATCTGTCATTTTAAAACATAAGAAATATTTCGATTGTCCATAGTAAATGTAATTCAAAGTAATCGTAAATTACTTTGTATAACTACTTTGATAGATTGTATAACAATTTAATGATATAAAAAGATGGCATTAAATGCTTAATACTTAAATGTGAATTACGATAAGATCATAAATCATATACTGTCAACACGTACATTCCCATAAAATCATAGTTTCTCTATCACCCAAAATTAAACTTCGGATATTACAGAAAAAAAGATGATACTAATTCAACTTTTCCTATATGTTTCGACAATTAAGTATGCTTTATAAACAAATATTTCATTCGGAAAATTCTTTGCGTTAAGTCTCAAGATATTCTCCGTTGAACAACGATGTTTCCAGCAAATGATATTTCGTTTGCAGGATATCTGTACTTGCTGAATCCTGATCGCTCCGATACGACCCAGATCCTATAAATGATACATCCTGTACTGGTCATATCAAAGGAGAAAAGAGGGGAGTGTGTGATAAAGCTCGACGAAGGGAGGAGACAGGATGTTCTCGATCGTTAAAGCGCCACAGCGCCGCGCCACGTGATCCTCACGCCCAAGGTACTCATTCATAAACCTGAGGTTGCGCTAATTCTTCATACGTCAATGTTACTACTAATGGCGACCTTATAAAAAGCGAATCACATGCAATTCGGGAATTGATCGTGCCAACAACTCTCCATAGAAATATTTTTCCATTCATATCGTTCATGTCTTACGTCCAGTTTTATTTGCATATTAATAGGTGCGTGGACTCAAAAGAGAACATATCAATCACCTGATATGTTTATAAGCTCGACTATTATTCTGGTTCGGTAAATTAGCAATTGACGTGAAAACTGAAGAGAAATATTCAGGTTTATATCTCCCACCTTATTCTCTTTCCTTATCTCTTTATATCTTTCGCATAAATACTTATAACACTTCCATGATTGAAATCAATATTCATTTACTCGTTCGATTTGAATGTTCAACAGGCTTCTCGTATAACATAATTTTAATTTTAGATTATTCTACGGTTATCAATAACTGGTACGATATTCTCATAAAGAGTATAAGATACTGAAAAATCAATTTCATAAAATAAACTTCTATCAGGAAGAAGAAATTTAATGAAATACATCAAAGAACTGTAATTGTAAATGTCTGACACATTGTTTATCTATTTAGCCCACCCCCAAGAGAGACCAAAAATTATGCATATTACAAATAGCTCTAGCAAGCATGATTTCCAACAGAGATCATCGATTGCCTTGTGCAAATAAAATGTGCACATGGACCTAAAGGCACCAACTTCAGGATCATAAGTTATCATCGTTTTGCGTCCTTTGACGAGAATAATCGTTGTATAAAAACTGTGAACAATCGATATGACACCTGTTTCTCCACAGAATGGAGAACCTGATTTGTCTGATCAAACCTACCTTGGTTGAAGGTCGCCGTTGGAGGGATATAAATAAAAGTAGAGTGGATGTATGATTGTGATTGTGTAGCTGGACTCCCCTCGCATTGAGCGGTGGGCTCCATTCATGATTTCCCCGCGCACGCGTCCTATCGTCCCTTGACATGGAAAACTCTTCCGCCGAGTATATAGGTGCTGGATTACGTAGCTGCATGTACACGTACGCTCTGGAGGAGGTGGCTACGATTAAATCGTCTGCGCCCTGGAATGCCGCCACAGTGGTAAGTTTCTATCCCTCGTAAGAGAAATCAAATACTAACGATCTATCGAATGCACGTACGTACGCACACGAGTGCAATCGTTCACAATGACACCGTACAGTAATCATGTATAGAGCGATGTGATCGTGTTTCCCTCGGTGAAAAGCTCTCATCTCTCGTGTTTACGACCACGAGCTCTACATCATTCTTAGCGTTAGAGTCATGCACGTTGAGGAACTGGCTTCCGCTCTTCCTCGTTGCTTGGTCATTCATTTATTCTGCACCTGGTGAATAACACGTTTAACTGGACCTCAAGCTTCATTGCATATGGATACATATTGTGCATGCCACTATTTCCGTGTAGTCACATTCACACTGCGAGGCGCCGACCTCTTCCAATTCACTTCCAAACGAAATAACTTATAAATCTTAATAATTGATTTTTATAATAATTTATAAGTGATGTTGGAGTTGTATATATGCTGCCTATAACTCGAAGTGGATTGGTCCGATATATATCTGGATCTGAAATGATTCGATTTAACGAAAATTCTTAGGTCCTCGTAGGGAAACGTAAACGTTAAATCGAATGAAAATAGATGGTAAGGGATGGTAGGGATAGAACAGTTAGGAGAGAGAGAGAGAAAAAAGGAGTATTGTGTATTTGTTGCTCCAACGTGGAAAGATAGTGCGGGGGTGTGAATCGCCAATTCGAATGTGGGGGTAAAAATGCATTCTCTCGATTGGTCGAGAAAAGCTCGCTTGCCTGGCTAAACGGATGGCCGAGGGTTGGAGCGGGGGAGCAGAGGAAGAGAAGGAGAGGGGCAGAGGGTGCTAAAGGGATCCGAGTTTCAAACCAGAACTCAGTACTCGAGTTGTCGAATTCGGGAGATCACTAGACATCAGAGGTCCGACATACCCCTGCAGTTGCATTCTTCGACGACCACGTGCTCACACTTCTTCCGGTCTTTCCATCCATTTAAACTTAATTACCGCGCCAGCCTCCAGCGGTGGAGGATCAGTTGATACTTCTTGCTTCAACCATTCATCTTGGCCTTCTAGGAACAACTTCTTCTTAACAAGGGTATTTATCTCTTTTTTTTTTAACATTTTAACGTATTTTCTATGTTAGATTTATAGTTCGTTTGTTGTTTTTTTCTTTTTTCTTTTTTTTTTTGTAATTTGAATGAAAATCGTTAGACAAAGAGAGGCAAACGACTCTCCTGTTTCATGTAACTTTAAATAAATGAGAGCGTACGCTCCCGCAATGTGAACGAAAGTGAAAACGATTCCATCGATCCTTGACTCTCGGTCAGTTTAAAGGTATTATTAATGTTGTGATCGAATAGAGCGACGTAGGGCGTTAATTAGATAGCTTGAAAATTGATTGTCACACAGGTCGAACGTTGTTCGTTTACATTCGTGTATTTGTGTCGTAAAGTGCTCTTCTCGAACGACATTGAAATTCGAACGAGAGGGAAAGTAAGTATCTACGACGACGTTACCCAACGATGAAAACGAAATTCGGAAAGTTCGTTCATTTTCATCGGTTTGTCAAACGTGTCTCAATGATCGCTTACTTTCTGTCACTTTGAAAATATTTTTCAATAAAAATACGGTGGTATCGTGAAGTTAATATTTAATCGTTCTTTATTTTTTATTATTTATACGTACAAGTGTATATAAATGAATTTGTTTAATATAATTTGAATAGAAGACATTTTGAAATATCAACATTGAATGTTTAAAAGAACTTTTTTCTGAATTTTTTAAACTGTAAGTATAAATTGTGTGTTGTAAAAAATTTTATTGGGTTTAATGATATAATAAACTGAAGAGTTTATATTTTAATATAATAAAATAAATATATACACGTATATATCGTCCGATAGATACGCAGACGCGTGTATTTTCTCTTATCTGAGAAACAAATCTTATAAAAATATTTCGATTTATATTCATACTTTGTCCACTTATATTTTTTCAATTTTAACTTTTAATATATTACATTATATATTTAAATAACTATTTACACGAAATATCCAGCTAATTTTTCTTTACGTACATAATATTGCTCGTCAGGTAGCAAAACATTGTATGAATTTCTAGCTATTTTTTGCTATACTCTAAGCATAGTTTTCTTTAAAACATTCATACAGTCGATATTGAGAAATAATAAAAATACAATTTAAAATCAATTTATCATTAAAACCAATTTAAATTCAAATTAGTTTTCCATATTTCGCTTATCCTATTTTTGATCGACATGAAATAAAAGCATTGTTTCCGGATGAATTGTTTAGAATATCAAAATCTACGGAGCGATATTTCATTAATTTTTATTTCCATTCTATATATATTTTCATACATTAATTCATCAAAAGTAAAAGCTTTTGAATTTCACTTTCGTGTAAAATTCCAAAAACAATATCCTTGGAAAACAATTCTCAGCATCTTTTCTACAAAGGAAGCATCCCATATATATATTCAGTAACCCAAACAGGAAACAGCTAGATAATTCCTTTTCATATTTTCCTTATCTTCTTTTCTTTGCTCCCTAGTGACAATTTTAAATTTGAAACATCGGACAAATTTTTCAAATATCTCGTAGAATAGTGACAGTTACCTGTTACTAGCCGCGTTTACAATTCCTCTTGTTGCTATACTGGGGGTCCCAGGGAATGACAGATACACATACTTCACTTTCTCTTTCTTTTTGACCCTCGAAAAGAATAGCAAGTCTAACCTTCGTCACCATGGTAATTTCAAGGATAGCACCCCCTAACTGCTGCAGGCCAGCTGCTGGAAAAACGGAAAAAGGGAAAGTTTGCAGGTCAATGTGTAGGGTTTTCGCTTGAAATTACCGTAAACCAGACGTGCCATTTCTTCATAGACAAACCATCCCTGATTCTTAGCAGTCATAATGGACCAACTTTTATAAATATATTATTAAACAAATAATTAGTAGATTTGTTTTTATTAATTTATTAAATTATCGTAAATGTAGAATATTTATAGAAATATTTTTGTTTTCGTGTTGTAAATTTCTATTTTTAGTCGAATGTTAGATTAGAAGTTTTTCGTTTGCCTGAAACATTTTCTTTGTCGATTTTATACTCTTATTCGATAAATAGAACAGTTTTTTTTTCATACAAAAGTGAGAGGAGGTCATCCTTATACTATAAGGGTCATACAGATTTTATCAGGCGAGTATTGCAATATTGCATTTTATTAAAATTTGATTGTTCAATAATTTCGTTCAGGATGATTGTTCAGGAATTTTGCCAGTCCAATATTATATTATTAGCAAACGTTTTACAAATTATTTAAAACAAATTACGTTTGTTAAACGCGATATAAAAAGCAATAGAATTGCATGGTATTATATTAAACTTTTGATAAAAAGTTAATAAATTAGGTTTTTCCTAAACGTATAATGCGTACAAGTCATTTTATATAAGAAATAAATTGTGATTGACGTTTTGTATTAGAGAAATTTCTGAAATATAATTAAGGGATATACTCACTCTGAAATAACGTACAATATATTTTGTCGTCGTTGATATTTCATTAATTATAGTTAAACGAATATTATAGAGTTGTAATTAATGAATATAATTTTATTCAGATTTCAGAATGCATTTTCTAATATACTCTTTGATAAACGTGTCAATTAATGAGTTATGTGGTTACATAAGAACGGAATTCACACAATTGAAAACTAATTAACAGTATTATCGGCCAGACGATGAAGTTTCATTCATACGGTTGTCAGTATTGAACTCGTTGTATGAGATTTTACATTTATGAAAGCCACGCGAGTCATTTCCCTGTCATATTAATATTCGGTTTGAAGTATGCGTTAAATTGAAGAACTTGAAAGACTAGAAGACTAAATTCTTGTTTAAACGCTGCTATTAATTCTCATTGAGGAATTCTTTTGATTTATTATTATAAATGTACGATAGAAATTTTAATGTAGTTTAAGATTCATAATTTCATAACGTAAATACTCTCACCATATAACTGTTGCATTCGATCTTGTGTATAATATGAAATATAATTTACAGGAGAAATATTTTTAATAATTAAAAGCAAATATTATTCTTAATAACACTTTATTTGTTACGTAATTCGAAACCCGAGAGATCACAGAATGGGACTTGGTTTTCGTCGTTTTTAACAATATTTACCTTTACATTCTTTAAATATATTACAATATGCTATTTTATAATATATTACAAGTAGATGCATGAGTATTTCTAGAAATAGAAATGCAAATATTCGTACATTAATGTTAATGTCAGAAGCTTGTTTGAGATGTTAATTTCATTTTATTCTTGACGCAAGCGTGATTTATACTGTAGTCGCATCATGTTACGAAGTTAGTGTGTAATTTCTAACTTCTAGAGCAACTGGAGTAGCAGCTTTCGAACTAGAATGAGATTCACATTAATTTAGATTTTTAGTAATTGCTATAGATAAGTCATCTGATAGCAATAATGCAATAATAATATAAGGAAATAAGTAACTTTCAAGCCACGTGGCCCCATAGAAAACTGAAAGTCGATTCCGTTTTTAAGGATTCTGTTTTTTTTTCTTTAGAAATCCCCTAATTTGACTATAGTTCATATAAATAACAATAGAAACCTGGAAAATTTTCCGTGTCTTCACCATTTACCACAAATTCGAAATACATTTTCATTCAATACCATCTTCAACAGAGGTGACGATGAAACGAATGAAGTAACGAATTCTATCCCTTCGAATCGAAGTCTCTATATTTGAGTCACGAATAGTACTTTAACGGATGGAGAAAGTTACGATTAGAAGCTGACTGAAACATTCATTTAGAAACACATAGACGGCGATACGTGTGTACTTACGTCGAATTTCCTACTGTTATTGATTTCTACGAGGTCCCACCAATGGATGCGGGATCCCATTTCTCGACCCCCGAACTAAAAAGGGTATCACGGTTCTTGGCTGTGCAGGACTCATATGATGACCTTGAACCAGCTGTGCAGGGGTGTTTCGTCTTTAAAACTAGATCAAGAGGTCATCCGTACGATTCAAAATGCTTTTCCGTTGACTCCCCTATGAATCGATCTTGATTCAGCTTGTAACTATGATACTGTAAATACATTCAATATTTTTTGACCCGTAAGTCACAATCGATACAGTATGATTGTTAAAGGGACCAACGAGAAGTATCCCTATGTCTTGTCGAGTGTCCCAGTTTTCTCTAAGTCGATCTTCAATTTCTTCTACGGATATAAGTAAGGGAAAGATGTTATATACGGGTACGTCGTTTGTTACGAATAAAATTTCTACCTACAAAATGTTTTGACAAAATTTCGTTGAGAATACCTTAGACATCCTGTATATGTATGCGTACATATATATATACACCATATTGTTTAAGAGTAAAAGTTTCTGCAGAAATCAGCGAAGAAATTAATATTCATTTTCTTAGGATTTTATACATACAGAACCTTACATTATGTTTACGGTGTATGTAGTGGTTGATACAACGTGTAAGCTAGAGTACAGCTTTACTTACTTTCACGTTTGACAAAAATTTGTGTAATATAATGAAAATAATTACTTAAGTCTTGATTTAAATTATTTGAATTATTTTTGTTCCAGGTGAAGTTATCACGACGAGACAACAATTCCATATTGAATTTCCCGAAGTGTTTTAATTACACACCTACAGCGTCATGGATCACAATCACAATTCTAGATTAAATTACTTCTTTCATACTCCAAGCCGTCCACACATCCCAGGACCGGAAGATCCGAATGCAGAACTTCTTAGGGTATGAAGTGAAAGAAACTTTTATTATTCACACTTACCAATGTTGAATCACACACAAGATCAATATGGATGTCTTAAATAATTTTACATGTTTACACATTACACACACAAAACAAGTAAAAACAAGATTTTTTAATGCAAGTTTCATTTAATATCCATTTCTACATAAATTTAAAACATTTTTGCAATACCTTAGTGAGGTACTAACGGATCCAAGGTGTTCAATTATAAAGTAAAGGATTTTGATTTTTATTCTATCACACTTGTACGTTTTCTTTCGTTACAGTTGGCCAATGCATACCGGCCGTCACTTATCAGACCCGATAATCCCAGCGTAAGTCCACCAGGCACTAGTGCATCGTCCCCAAACAGCATGAACTCCCCACCCGGTTTCAGTGCATCCCCAGAAGAATGTAACATGGATAAATTGATTACCACTTTAGCACAAGTCTGCAGTGGTAGTTTGAGTATATCGAGTATATCGGGTATACCGGGTATACCGGGTATATCGGGTATATCGGGTATATCGGGTATATCGGGTATATCGGGTTCCCGCAGTGGTAGATTCTTACAAGCTAACGATATATGCAAGGATTGTACTGAGATACTTTGCGGAAAGTGCTCTAGGCGTCAGCGTTTGGTAAATATATTTTGATCTATCAGCCTTCCTTAAACGGTTAACTTCTATGTGTAATCTTTAACTTAAGTTTATTCGTTATAGGTTTCTTATCGACGAATAAAATAAATTTTAAAAAGTAGAAATTTCAATAGTATCTGAGAACTACCATAGAACTACGTTATATGCTAATGAAGTATCTTCTTTTCTTGTACACAGAATCTTCCGGACGCAGAGAACGGGGCCGAATGTGCTCCACCGCAAGATGCACCGACGGAGGTACTGAACCCCGCAGTCGTTAATCCAAATTTGTCTCTTTTACAAAAGCCACTTTACTGCGATATTCATCGTCATGGTCAACGATTATTTTGTCAGACTTGTTGCGCACCTATTTGCGTTGAGTGTGGATTCCAACTTCATCAGGACCACGCTACAATTGATTTCAATAAAGCCATTGAAGAAACTTGCATTCAAGCGGGCCAGGTACTGAAAGACGCTAAGCTTGGAGTTTCGATCCTCACGGATGAATTAGATAATGTGCAAGTAAGTTATCCTTAGAGAAATTCATTTATCGCAGATATAATAAAATATGATAATGATAGTTTACATCGAGAATGTTTAATATTATTGTGTCGGTACCGTTTAGAAAGATTAAGCACAGCGAATTGACTGAAATAATGACGGTTAATATTAGATATCTTAAATCAAGAATTATTGATACATTATCAACATCTATGTCGAAATATATAATTAGATACAATGTTTTTAGAAAAATTAAATATACAGAATAATGCTCCTATTAACCGTTCGCTTGCAATCTTATCTTTGACGTCATCTGCTTACTGGGTTGTCTAAATCCATGCAGCTGTTCTTTTTTAGGATTTTGTTTTCAAAAATTGTTCAATATGAAAATTTCCGAATACTCTTCTAACCAGGTTTCCAGTATACTCTCCGATAGTTTCTACCGCTGCATGTTACTTCGATTCTTTTAAGGAGAGCAAAATTTGAACAAAAATATGGCGAAAATGAAAATTCACTTAAAATCAAGTGTGAAAGTAAACAAGTGTGCAGGTGGAGAGTTTTAATGTATTCGTAAAATGTTCGTATCTACAATTTCTTTTGCAGGTAGCGGCAGAACTGTTAGATCAAAAAGCAAGACAAGCAGCTGCAGATTTGACGATGTGCACGAAAAGAATAGCTGCCGCTTTGGAGGCGAGAGAAAGAGAACTGTTAGACAGTATCGAGAAAGCCAGAATTGAAAAATATGCTGCGCTACAGGAAAGAGAGGAGGGGATCAGAAATGGAATAATGCGACTAACTCGAGCTGCTGACAAAATTAGTGAACTTATAGAGAACAGAGCTTATATTAACAATCCAATGAATCTAACAATTACCAAGGATATGGCTTCAGCTGAGGTATTGATTAATGAAATCAAATATCTAATATTTTTTAGTTTTCGATATCTAGATAACTAACGAATCCTCCCAACATTCGTTATACGTAGTGAAACTAATAGTACTAAAAATCTTTCCACTACTATCATTTTATCGACATTGCTGGTTATCAAAAAATAATACTGTAACAAAATATATTTAACAATTGTAACATCGTAGTTATTAGGTTACTCTATATGAAATGTTTCTTTAAAATCTGATATTAGTTGGTAGATATCACATGTTATCAATCTTCTGATATTCAATCGTGAATATATGGCACAAAACATTTTTCTACCTCTCTGATCTTGCGATCTCTGATCCTCTGATCCTGATCCTGCATCATTTTCCAATATCTAGATAGTATTTCGACAAATGTTTCCTCTCGTGGAATATTTTAATTCTAGAATTACCAATATTCATAAATAAACAGGCTAATGAAAAAGACGAACAGAATCATGCTGAAATTATCTTCCTCTGCATACACGCGTTTTCTTTATACGTTCTATCTAAAATCTAATACAGATTTGATTGATTTGTTGTTTCATATGGCTTTTACATTATTCTTTTAGAGATATTGTGTCACTGCCTTAGTGAAAAAATTAGATTAATATTTAGTATAGGATGCTTATCGATATTGAATTATTTTTTATAATAACGTTAATATTAAAGGTCTCATAAAGGAATATAAAAATCACTATAACACCGTCTCGTAGATATCTGCTATAAAGATCAAATTTGAAATCGATTACTTTAACTTCCTAAATTTCAGCATTATAGTAATAAATTTTATACCTTTCCGTCACTTTAAGATGCATAAACACTCTACTAACGTATGATTTTTATCGAATACAGATTTTTCAAATCTATCAGAACTATCGATCCCTTCCATCTCATGATGAAAACTGGATCTCTTTCAATGCTATGGAGATGAATGTAATGGGCGCTATAGCAAGTTTTGGAAGCATTATGGTGAATAATCCGGGACCTATAGGCGATCGACGACCTCTGAGACACCATGAAAGTCCGCGTCCTATGCTCTTTGAATATAGATACTGTTTTTTATCAGTTTCACCAATTGGAGGAAGACCAATTGCTTTAAGCGATTCGCCCGTCGTAGTAAATCGAGGCCATGATGTGCCAATGAAAGCCCCAACAATAATTGGAAACAGCGGTGATATTGATGACAATCTGTGCCGACCATGGGGCGTAGCATGTGATGAAAAAGGACATATAGTCGTTGCAGATAGGTCAAACAATCGTATTCAAATATATAAACAAGATGGTTCCTTTCTAAGAAGATTTGGTGCATATGGTACCGGACCAGGATACTTTGATCGCCCGGCTGGCGTAGCCGTCGATGCACGTCGCCGTATAATTGTAGCTGACAAAGATAATCATCGTATACAGGTAATTCAAACTATTCTCAAATATAATATTAAATATAAGCAGTGAGAGAATAGCGAGTTTGAAATTATTTGAACACTTGCTTATCTTTAGTACGATATCGCTTAATTACAGAAACACAACTAAACAAACCCGTAATGATCCCGTCACATGCCACTATTATAGCGAAATGTGAGAAACAACTTTCAGAAGCAAGTATAACAAATTTGTTAGCCATATGAAGTACTGTCAACAGTTCTGTTAATTAACATGATTTCATGATTTTTATATCGATATTACAGAAATTTTTTTTTTTTTTTTTCATGACAAGAGTCGTTATGATTAATTCAAATAGGAAAGCATAATAATTATAAGCATAATAATTAAAAATAAGCGATCGAAACACTTGTTAATAGAATAGGTAGAAAATAGATAAATTTAAATTTGCTAGGGTCGAAGAAGGATCATTCGTATTTTCGTCAATTTTTAGATTTTGACGATGGATGGCCAATTTCTTCTATGTTTCGGCGAAAAAGGCAGCCGCTGTGGTCAATTCAATTATCCATGGGATGTGGCTGTGAACGGCGAATGCCAGATAGCCGTGTCCGACACTAGAAATCATCGCGTCCAGTTATTCAGTCCTGAGGGCACTTTCCTACGAAAATACGGCTTCGAAGCCTCGCCGAATATGTGGAAGCATTTTGATTCACCGCGTGGCGTTGCTTTCAATCCCCAAGGCAAGGTTGTTACCACTGATTTCAATAATCACAGACTAGTGGTTATCGATGCCGATTTCGTAACCGCCAAAATTTTCGAGTGCAAGGTCGCTGGTGGTAACAAACAGTTCCTGAGACCACAAGGTCTGGCGATCGACGATGATGGAAACATTATCGTAGCTGACTCTAGAAACCATCGAATACAGATATTCGACAAGTCTGGTATGTTGATAAAACGATACGGCAGCTACGGTAAGGGCGATGAAGAAATGGACAGACCATCGGGGATATCTTTATGCCCCGACGGTAAAATCGCCGTCGTAGATTTTGGTAACAACCGTCTCCTTCTTATTTAAACGATCGATCGGTTGTAGAAATAAGAGAGGGGATGGCGGGAAGAAGGCGGCAGTAAGAATAAGATTTTATATATGGGGGATAAAGAAAAAAAAAAAAAAAATTACGCGACGATTGCGAACACAACAACTGTTTGATATTTTAGAAGCAAGCGTGTAACGCTTTAGTCAGACAAATTATTAGAGACATATTTTCTTACTAATTATATATTTTATGAAAATCCGTATAGATTCTTTTCGAAACTTCGGATTGTCTATGTGCCAAATACACAAGTACAAAAAAAAAAAAGAAACTTTCAGAACTTTTCGTTCTGAAATCATATCGCTATGGATGTTCTCATCTGTGGCGAATAAGCACAACGTGGAAATAACGTTTCTCTATAGATGTTCCGTTTGGAGAGGAATATTATTTTTACGTTATTACGTACTTAACGTTATCTGTAAATTCATGGATAATAACAGAAAACGAAAAATTACGATAATTAATGAGTATGGTTATGGCAATAATAATTTTTTTGCAATAAAGAATATTAGAAAATTTTTATAAATCAAAAATTTTTCGTGTGATATAAAATGCTGGCCATTGGAAATTGGAATTTTTTTGTTTTATAAACGGTAGAGTTGTTTTACTTTTATTTATTTTTTTTTTACCCACTAACGAATTTTAGTAAAAATTTAAAAGATTGTTCGTCTATTTTTTCGGTGGGAATATTTATTAAATCGGATCGCAAGTTTGAGAGTAGCACAATACAAGTGATATAATTATATATATATATATATAAAGAAAATAGTTGTCATTTCCCATGAAAATGTAACTATTTTCTCTGGTATAGTAGATATTTCGTAACAAAGATACCGAAATTCTACTTCTATAGCTTGCATTAGCTTTACTTTCAAAATTTGTCGCCATCCATAGTAGATGTTTTTTTAAAAGAAAAAATCATTATTAAATAATGATAGAGTAGAATGCTGAATTGACCAGCTATCAAAATTCAGGATATTGTTTAAATTAGTGATAACCGTCTCATGTTGATTACGCAAGGAGATATAAATGCAATTTATGAAGGATCTTTGTGATTAAAAAATCCTTTTATCGGTGTGTATAATTAAGGTGAAATAACGGAATGCACCAAGATAAAAGTTAGATATATACAGTCGATGGTATGGACAGAATTACAAAGGAAGTATTTACATAAAGAAAGAATGAGAATACATCGTCTCTTAACGATACCACAGTTGTCAAAGAAATACAAAGAATCAATGTCGTAGTAATATTTCGGACATATCATACATCGAAGACATTTTTTGTACTAGCATCATTGTACTAGTATCTATAGACTAGTACTGATTATCATTATTATTTTGTTCATGTTTATTGTTGGCATATGATTAATTTCATCTACCATTCTCATCGACTTTTTCCTTTCGCAATCACATTCGTGACTAGTAACATCGTTACCTGTTATCTTAATTATCCGAATTGATATCACAACAATTGGGAAAAAGTTAATGCAAAACGGTGTTTGCTGTAAAATATGAATTCTATACGATGTATAAGAATTCAATGCATCACTAGTCAGTCTTAAATGAATGCGAGGACATTTAATTTAGTTTGCCGTTAATGAAACTCACGAAGGCATTAGTTACTTGCACTCTGTAAGACTGAAATAAGACTGACTTAATAGATGTGAAATTTTGTTCCCAATTCGTTTCTTCCTTATGCAGAGACTTAAAAGAAGAATTTGTTTGAATATTTATTTTGATGTATTCACAACAACAGTTGACGAATTTTTAAGTAGAGTAATTTAATTGGCCTATACGTACTATGTCAAATTTTATTTATATTTCTTCTCGTTTTCTTCCTTTTTTTGGGGTAAGCTGGTGATATATTTACCAAATAACCGACTTATATTAGCGTAATAGTTCACAGTCAGCAATCAATTAAATATTAGTTCTAAGAACTCATGTTCAAAGGATATATGATCTCTCAATTGCATTGTGTAGAAATGTCTTCACAAAACCGAACTACTTAAAAAATGGAAGGAAGGGAGAAACATTAAGAAGGATAGACTATTTTAACAAATCGCTACGCTAAACATGTTCAAAAACAGCAATTCAACGTTAATATTGTCGAAGAGGTCTCTACACACGAAATATGATTTATCAGAAGAAGTTTTTACAAAAAATAATTTCTTCATATTAAAGGACCTCTAGCGTTAGAGTATATAGCAATAATGTTGTCCCTGGTATAGAACAATTTTATTAGCAAAATATCCTTATGTAATGCACGTGTTAAGACACGAAGATTAAGTTAAATTTTAAATATGTATCATCCTGCTCAATTACTACATACATTTAACTAATCAGGGACAGTTACAACACAAAATATTTTCGATTGAGTATTTCTCAAAAGAGACACGATATAATATGATTTCTAGCATGAGAGCAAAGCCAGGGAATAATTGTCCAGCGTTGCACGTCCATTTGAAAAAATTCATGGATAAGTTTGTTCTCCTATAAGATATTTGATGAACGAAAATGTTTTGTTATAGTTTCTTATACTACAACAGAATGATGCTGATACGAATTCAATATTGTATACACAGTGCACTATAATACGTATGTATAAAACTATATTCGGTAAACAGAAAATATAATAGATATATGCCAGATATATATATATATACGTATACATTTATATATATATACATGTATATATGTATATATACATATACCTGGTATATATACTAAACAACGTAAAAGTATTGCAAATCCTGCATACAAGATAGTTTACGAATGCTATGATATTATCCAGGAAATGAGATTTCTGTGACAAGAAGAAGAAAGAAATGATTCTTGTTATTTTTTTAGACTGCTGAACTTTTTATGGGCAGTTTGCTGTCAAAATTTGAACATGTTGTATGCTCGATATACGATAAAAAGTTGATATTTGTGTGAGGCAAATGCAGACATGAGATATATGATCGTGTTAAAGAAAATAATAATCAAAACTAAACAAAAATTATGAACACAGATCGAAATTTTTTTCGAAAATTTATAAAAGATTCCGTACGTCTGCGAAAAGTTTTTTACAATATAGATGATGTTTGGAAACAGATAAGCTGTTTCTTTTTAACAATCTATTGCACGTTGCTAGGTGGCGTAATAACAAAAAAAAGATAAAAAAGCAGTAGAAAAAGAAAAAAAATTGAAAGAAAAAATTGTTATGCTTAATCATTTTCTAGTATAGTTCTACCATTTAAAAACTGATGTATTTGTTATAAATTTGTTATGCTCGTTAAAAATGCACGCCATGCATTTTAACAAATTTATAATGGTACTAATTGATTTACATGCATATTTGCATAACTAAAAGGTGTAATCACCGTTTAATAATCGTTGACTAACACGCAATAATCCAATTTCAGTCCCATTTTTTTTTTTTTTTTTTTTTTTTTTTTTAGAAACGTTCATTGCACGAAAAAAAGCAATAGAAGATAAAAGCTGCTTCTTGTCCAAATCTACGACTTTTGTTCGACGTTTGTTTTTTGACATAATCGATAACTTAGAAGATACTCGTTAGAAGATACATTTAAATAACTGTTTCTAATGTTCAAGGGACCAGAGCACGATGAGTTGTCGCGAAAGAAACATTGAAAAAAGATTTTCATACAGTGTAAATAAGAGCCATCCTCTGTAAGCTGTTCACATCGAAAAATTCTGTGCAATCGCGTAAATTGGAGAATGCGTGTGCGATTTATTATTTTAAATTTTTCATTTTTAAGAAAATGAACTAGTGCTCTCTTCAAGAAATATCAGAGAGGACTTAATAACATTTAAAGATAATTAGTTACTTAAGTTGAAAATCGAGAGCAAGAAAGTTGCTCTTCGAAATGTTTGAAATTAACCCTTTCGCTGCGAAGGACGTGCATATACGAATTTGTGAAAATTCTAAGTGTGTATTTCGCATAATATAACATTTTTTGTCTTTTTTGTATTAAAATATTTTTAATTCCAAGGATACTGTAGCAAAAGGGTTAATACAGTGTTAACAAAATGGAATTATGTCCAAGCGACATAGTTTACATTTAATTTTTCAATTTTTTATAACAATAATTTTTATATTTACGAATGTGTGATATTATCTGATGTAAACTTTCAGTTTTATGAGAAACCCCATTAAAATTTTTCAAATTTTAATACCACTTGTAAAATTCTCTTCCCTCCCTCCAATTAATATTTCAGGTTTTGAATATAATCGGTTACATAATTTTTTAAATGTATCACAGCTATGTTTATGATCAATTTTCGACTCGTTTCATTTTCTTACTCAAATTTCGTTTCCTTTGAATTACGTTCGTTTTCAGAACGAATTTCAGATAAAACAATATAACGCAATTGATATTCACGTATTTATTTTAGTGTTCGTTTTCGTTGAACAAAAAGAAGAAACATCATTGTGAGCGTCAATTATAAAACGTAGGATATAGAATAAATAATAAGGATAAAGTAATAAATAACGAACAAGGATTACTACGTTAAAAAGAAGTCAATAAAAAATAACATGCAGCATTGTATGCATTTATATCTGACCTATAACCTTATATTCATATTCTTTTTGATAGTTTTAACTACAAGTCAAAAAGGTAAATACGATAGATCACGAATACCTCCTTAAAAACGAACGATAAACGAATAAAGATGAGTACTATTTTCGAACAAGATAGAATTATAAGACACGTAATATTATCAGATGGAAATATTTATTCATTGTTCATTGTAGCACGTAATGCAATCCTTACCGATTTAATGAGATGCAAACTAACGCAAAAGGGAATGGAATATAGAGGAACAATAGCCAAAACTTCCGGTGGCATTCGATGCCAATCTTGGTACGCAGAAGAACCAATACACGAGGTAGCTTTCATCTAAACTAAATTATTAATTTGAAATTGATGATAATTTCAAAGAAATATTTTTCTATCTAAGCCTTTTATCTTTTTTTTTTATCGAAAATTCATAGATACTGGAATATTCGTGAAAACCGAGGTAAATTAGAAAAATCATTACGAAAGTATTAAAAACCTTCAAAACTATTTTATTTACTTATATTATTTTTTTCTTTTTAATTTTTCTCTTTTATATTCATTACGATAATCAATCGTATCGACGTAAACAATTTTCATATTCGTTAATGTTACTAATTACTGTGGTTGCCACCACAATAGCATTTTATGTAGGGCGTGTAAGTGTTTTCATAAATCATTCAGGTCGTAGACAAACTCTCGAAATTAAAAAATTTTTAAATTTTGAATTATCGATTATTCCTTCGAGAATCTGAGTTAATTGGCAAATTTCACACGAGATCTACCAATTACGTAATACGTACTTATGAACTTAAACTGTAATAACTGTTTATATTAATAATAAATTTGGCACTTTTATCAGAGATCCTATATATTTTCATAATATTCGATGTCAGGTTAGTAAAGATATAAGCGACGAAGATTTTCCCGAAAGGTCGATAAAAATTGCGAAAAATTACTGCAGAAACCCAACGAATGACAATAGAGGGCCATGGTGTTATACTTTGGAACCTTCGCTTATAGACGACGAATGTGACGTACCACTTTGTAATTTTGGAGGTAATATAATAAAAGTGAAACTTACAATGTTACAAAATTTGAGATAAGTAAAATCAATAAAATATCGAGTATCCTATATAAGAGTTACAATTGACAAGCACGCTATTTGTAACTTGCCTACTTTATTAAGTAACAGAATATTGTGTAAAAGATTATATAAATAATTTGATCGAAAATATTTCATTAGGAAAATTGAGAAAGTTCATAATTATCGATAAAGGTAGGTTTCGATGGAATAGAATCGCAGTAAAATTCAATTTTCTTTCGAAATCACGTTTCTTTTGAAAAATATTTACAATAATAATTATAATTATGTGTAAACGAGTAGAATGCAAACTATCGGGACCAGGAGCTGAATATGGAGGGACTAAAGAAATCGCAACGTCCGCAAGTAAATGTAAATCATGGCACAAACGATACGAGCTTGAAGGTTCGAAGGTGAATAAAATAAACCTTAATGCGATACTGAGCGAATAGAATTTCAAGAAATTTTTGTTGTTTGCCTTCGACAATGTAACATTATCTTATAGAGCCAAAAGTTCAGAGATCAGGACTTTCCTGATCGATCACGTAGGGAGGCAGAAAATTTCTGCAGAAATCCGTCAGGTGACGTCGGAGGGCCATGGTGTTACGTCGAAGAAGATTTCGAATATGTTCGGAAGCAGTATTGCGATGTTCCATTTTGCGACGATAGAGGTTTCACATGATTTTGTATTTATCCCATGGATTCTATCCACATGATCTTCTTCTTCTTACTATTATTTTGTTATTACATTTCTTAGATTGCGTAGCATTTACGAAGAATTCGTCTAATTATGCTATACTCACAAAATTACACGCACCCAGTGGCAACACTTCGTTTTGGGTTAAATTGTGGAATCCAGATGACGAGAAAAAGGTATACACATCTATTTATTTATTTTCAATGCTCGATTATCCCAATGTATATGTATACCATTAAAACTTTGTATGTCTTTATATATTCTTTCAGGAGAAAGAATAGAACATAAAAGATAAAATAAATATAGATAAAAGATCAACGCATATATAATTTCTATAGATAGGGAATATCGATGGAGAATTATTTTAAGGTTTAAATCTTAGCTACTTTTCTTCTTTGTGGCAAAAAAATTCCTAGTTTAACAGAATAATGCATACGTACAGGGGCAAGCTGGTATATTGCTTAGTCTTTTACCGATTCCCGCTTCCGCTGAAACAATAGCAGATATATGGACTGCAGGAGTTGAACTGGTGTTCGGAAATTCTGGCAGCCGTCAAACATTTCCAGCAGATGATGTTCGTAACAATACGATGTTTTAACTTTTCTATATTCCTAATTACGTGGTATAATATATAGAGTATGAATATTCATGCCTTTTCTTACAGGGAAATTTATAAGTGAAGAAAATAAAATACGATATAATATTTAAGAAAATATACATATAGAGTATCCGAAATAAGAGTACTTAGACTTAAATAAAAAGTTGCAATTTTTGTGATTTAAACGAGAAGCTAAAGATTTACAATATGCAAGATTTAATGATTATGAAACAATATATTTCTTTTTTCTTCGATCAGGAAGGAGAAAACGCTGAAAATACTCCTGAAATTTTGGTCGGTTCAAAGTGGACGGGAATATGGATAACATGGGGTGGTGGTTTCATTTCCGCTGGTATCGAGGGAGCAATGAAACCTTTAGTGATGCAGGAATATAAGAAAAAACATGGAATTACAAGCTTGTACCCAGAAACATTTCTGTATTATGGAGTTCGAGGGACGAACGTTTTGTGGAGCACCGCGTTCTGTCACATTCGTACGTTTTCGATAAATCGAAGTCAGTAGAATACGAAGAAAATGTTATTGTTAAATATGGTTAAAGCGCAGCCTAAAATTTCTAAAATTTAAGCCTCATATATATCGGCCAGAGAATTATCTAAATCTTAACTACACTAAATACTAGATCGTTTTATATAACTATATGTAATAATAGCTATATACTAAAATTTTCAGATTGCGAGACGCATACGACTTTCGGCATTGATTTTTCGAAAGTTTGGGCCATGCAAAAAAATAACGATACGATCGATGTTCGGCTTTTCGTTCGTGCGAGCCAAAATATCCAAATACGTTTGTATCAAACTCCATCGATAGAATATCCCTCCGTGACGGTAAATATCCTAATATTCGAGTCTTGAAAGATCGTTTTTTAAATTACCGTACGATATAATATAGGTAATAATAAGCAAAGACGTTACGACACTAACGTATCAAGAATTCGAAGAATCGTCCAAACATTATTTAAAAGAGATCTCCACCTCAGGCTTGCTCGATTTTTGGTCATGGAGGGAGTTCAGCATCAGGTTGACGATTTCGTATATTACAATCGAATTATTACATTCGTCCATTTCGCTACTTTAGTACTTTATTGCTCTCTTTTACGTTGTAGCATTTTTGGCGGACATTTACGCGTGTATTCACATAAGCAGAGAGGTGCTATCGAATTATTGTACATGAACGAAATCTTTTTTGCTAGTTTGAGGTGGTTTAGCATTGGAAGCGAAAAGACAATAGCGCAATGGACGCTATTTTGTTCTCCGGAAGGTAACATTCCTCGATTTAAATCTTCGTGTTACGCGTATTTATCGTCAGATGTGCGTAAATTAAATTTCATAGTAGAATGCAATTATACCGAAGAAAATATACTCGATAAATGATTATACGTCGATACGAAAGACGATTATAGGAAACTTACGTTTAAATAGAATCAGATGCGGTAGAAGATGCTTGGCCACCAAATTGTTTGTCCGATATAGGAGATTTTCAATTCAAAGGTACACAATGGACAAGCATTAAAGAAATTCCATGTATTCCATGGATATCGAAAGAAGTAAGAAATATACTTAGTAAAAGGTTATTAATATATCAAACTAAAGATGTTAATTAAAAGATAAATGATTTTGACATGATTCAGACACTTGATCTTTCAGACAGTACATACTTACATAACGCGTGCAATCATAGTAGATATGTAAATCTGTATTACAGTGAACAACGATAATTGTTGCAATTACTGTAATAATTACTGTAAACATGAAATTTTTCATTTTGGTATATAAGATCCCAGCAGAGAACAAAGATGACAATAATTTTATCGACGGATCTGCTTTGAAGGCACTTAATAAATGTAGAAATCCCACTCGCGACTCCAATGGTCCCTATTGTTACGCATACGTCCCTTGGGAGAGTGTAACGATTTCAAAACGATATTGCTCCATTCGAAAATGTAGATCGTCAGGTAATTAATGATTCTATTTAGGTGTTAATTAAAATTTCGTCCCGATAAATACAATTTTTGTACTTAAATACAGTAAAGCTCCGTTCGTCTGAATTTGTCAGACAGGACAAATGGTTTATATAGAAACTCGTCAACTTTCCTCGCTACTTATTTTCGTTCATAGTTTCTCGTTCGTATAACGAAAGCTCCTAATAGGAGGTCACTCACAGACAAGCGAATTCAATCAGCAAAAGTTCAGTTAAATTTCGTTGCAATAAGTGGAGTTGAGTAGTACAGCGACGTAGTTCTACCGTACATTAAAACAAGTACAAAACAAAGACGATTAACTCTCCTTTGCAGAATGTCGAATGGCAGGTACGGCGAACGATTACATGGGAACACTTTCGAAAACACGTTCAGGACGTGATTGTGACAAATGGCCAATCAGACCCAAATTACCAGCGATGGCCCAAAATGCGTCTCGAGCAAATACTACCAAATCGACTCGCGTCAGATCTGCAAAAATTGGAGCAAATGTAGCAGTTCCCAAAACCAGTTTGACAGTCGGTAGAGAATATTTCAATGATAGCGTCTTTCCAGAAGGAAGTGCCAAGAATGCCAGTAATTATTGCAGAAATCCATCGCGTAATATCGCCGGCACTTGGTGTTATACCAAGGATCCTTTGGTGCCCCATGATCTATGCAACGTTAGAGATTGTGGGAAACCAGGTAAATATTGCCGCATTATTTTCTCCAATATTTTATTCACAAATTTTATTTTCCATATTTTATTCAAGATCTTCCGTATGAAATAGTTTCCTCAGTGAATTTGCACTTGGAACCTCCTTGTTTATTAGCTAAAACGTAATAATAGTAAAGCGCGTTCTAGCATGATGGTAAAAGACATTCCAATATTTTTGTTATTTATTTAAAAAGTAATGATTCTCTTCTTGGGATGCAATTAAAGTATACTAATATAAAATCTAATTCTAATTAATCACAATGAAAGTTATAATTAATCGTCGTTTTTACAGAGGAGTACACGTTCCTTGCCGTGGGAGATGGCCTAGATAGGCGTATATACGTTTTACCCGAATATCGTTCGGAAGGTTTACACTTTTCTGTGAAAGCTTGGGAACCGGATAATCCAGATTCTGTCGTGTTTGTCTTTTTAGCCGATGATGGATTAAAATCGCGTTACATCCTCAAAATAGGAACGTCGAACAACGAAAAAGTACTTCTCTTTTACGAATCGGAAACTACAGGTAATTAGCGAACATATTCTGTCGGAATACTTGTTTGTTTCCCAGTGATCGAATTTAGAGTCGGCAATTTCAAATTTGCAAATGTTAATATAATAATTTATAATTTATTTTTTATCTTTCACCATCATTGACCGTTATCTGTCAATCAGGAGATCCTTTAGAAGTTGATAAATATGTCTGCATGTTTAAAGAAACTAAAGAACTTCGATTAATCAAATTATCAACTGAAAATCATTAAAACATTGGTAGCCCGACGAGTTAACTAGTCTTTCGCAGCTAACAGGTTAACGCGGGAACCGGTTAAAGGAAAACTGGATAAGAGGAAGTTTTAATTAATTTGTTCTATTATTGAACGTATAATTAATATCTTTGAAGCACGGCATTGTAATTTCAAGTTCGGTGTATTCCCATCCTACTCCTTCTTCTTATATTTCTAAGAACAACTTGTTATAATTATTTCGCTTTTTAACCGAAGTCTGTTTAATTACAGAAATTTCCTTAGTCAAGAGGAAAACTCTGCCACATTTGCTTTATGTAGGAAAATGGAGCAGCTTTATCATCCGTATACCACGCGGACAATTATTGCTTTATTACGAAGACGATCCTACACCATTGTTCGAATGGACTCATCCCGATCCTCCCAATGCTTTTCTACCAATGTATTATTATTATGGCAGCGAACAGTCAAAAGCTGTTGGCTTCGCGTTCGATCGTGGATCAAGTACGTTCACAATTAAAGAAACAAACTAAATATTATAATTTCGCATAAGTCCACGAAAATCTGCGGTCTATTAATCACTATTAATGTTAGTAATGTCCTCGAGAAATATAGGGGTGAATGTTTAATATCGGTACATAGAAATGTTTAATGTTTTACATGAATATCCTTTCATATTTTAATCTAGATACAAGTATCAAGTTAAAATGAATATAAATGATTTTTGATACGAATAGATTGTCATATAGAAAACACGAGAACTGATAAATACACCAGAATCCTATCGTTATCAACATGGATTGACGAAGAAATATTGCTTCCTCAACAAGTGACTCTTCATCTTCGAGGGGAAGGTGCAGTTCATTTCCCTTTCTACCTGATGCCCGAGACTCCAGGGTAAATGTAATAAATTTTCTCACCTGTTTTCAGTTTCTCAATCTCTAAATTTCGCATGTATAATTTCGGTAATATATATAATACTGTAATATATTAATCAAATTATTGTTATATTGGCAATCTTACATATTATAAATTCTTCTTTTTTTTTAATTCTTTCCTCAAAAGTTCTTAAAAGCCCGAACATCTCTTGCAGATGAATATTCAGTTTTCATGCAGCAGGCTGCATTACTATCCCAAAATTGTACTCTCGACTTTCTGTAAGTTACACGCAAAGATCTATCGTTACCCAACCACGTTAAATTCTTGTGATATACTCATTTTAATAAACACCAGAGCTTCCACTAAACGTAATTTACTGATATATACTATTTTAATAGATATTTTGTGCTCAAGCTTAATGACCCAGATCGTTGGATATTATTCGCAAAAACTACGTACCCTACAGTGACGGTTTTCCACAAACAAAAATCGCGCGTACCTTTATTCACAACGAATTCATGGACTAATATCACAATAAGGTAAAAAAATGGTATAAACTTTTACTTGGTAAATATAATTCGATATTATGCACTAAAGATAGATACCTTTATGATCCGCAGTAGGATCAACGATTCAGAAAGTTTTGTTGAGTGACATTTACTTTTTAAAATTCGCAGATGGTCTGCAAACACGATGAACATCTACTCCAACGCCACAAATGTGTTTCATTATCAGCATACCAGTCTTCTCATATTCTACTTCTTTTCCGTCGGCGTCGGTGTCAACAGCTGGGTTACTTGGTCTGTCAATTGCGTTCCAACGGGTAGAGACACATGCCCTTGTATTCTGTTATTAAATATCTAGGAAGATTTAGGAAGAGATTTAGTTTTTGTAAAACATTATTAATAAAATTAAATTTCTTCCTTGAAAGATATAGAAGGACCACCAGTTGATGGAGGTTGGTCAGAATGGGGACCATGGGCATGCAGCGTGAGCTGCAATGGTGGTACAGGAATTCGAAAACGACGTTGCGACTCGCCAACGCCTAACATCAGAGGAGAACCGTGTGTAGGACCGAGTATAATGACTGGACGTTGCAACGAAATTCTTTGTGGCGATATAACCGAAGGTAACTTTAAAAATTCTAGTTCCATTCGAGAACTATGAATTTCCACACGGTATACATATTGTCATTTATTGGAACCAGCTGCAAATAAATTTATCTTCGATCTGTCAGAAGAAATTATCGCATGTACGTATATTAAAATTAAAAATGAAAATTTTGTAAAATTAGAAATTATATAAAGATATAATCAAGTCCTTCTACTTTCTTCAATTTCCATAAGTGCATGAATATCCTCGGTCTAACAATCGTATTAAGATTAGATATAAAAATATCAGAATGAAACTTGATATCATCTCTGCAAAAATAATACGTAAACTATTTTGCTCGTAGATACGATAAAATTGATAAATCGAAGAATTAGAATGAACCACACGGCCCTTACTGCCAAAGAACATCGTTCTATCACAATTAAATCCGACTCGGATATCGTGCAATTAATTACTAAGGAATCTCCTCGTTCCGAATTACAATGGTCCTTAAACGGTGTCTTTGTGGAGATAGAGCCCGAAAGATTGGAGTTAAAAGATTACAGTATTGGTAAAATATAATTTCTCATGGTTTTTATTGAAATCACGCTGTCACCGAGAATCTCTTGTTCAGAGATAATTAACAATTATTTATTTAGAGATAATGGAAGCGGTTCTAAATGATTCTGGCGTTTATGCGATGACACTACGTCGAATCGATGGAACGTATTCGATTATCAAAGTGGTCACCTTGGCAGTGATTCCAGCAGAGGAAACTATGCAAATAAGGGAAACTCTAGACACAACCATACAATGCCATTGTGCAATCCTAGGACACATTTATTCGGAGCTTGAAGTGTCTTGGTTAGTACGCAATAAAACGTGGAAGAATTATGGCATCACGCTTCCAATGGCAGCCGATGTTGAACACATTACAAAAGTTAATAAAACGCATAACGGGATGTGGCAATGTGTCGTGAAGCAAAATGACTTAAATTTTGTATGGATAACAAATATGATATATATCAGAGGTAATTGTTATTTTTAATCTTACCTATATTTTTCGTATTTTTATTCTACTACGTCTAAATCATTCTACTGGTATCAATCATAAGCTGTGAGGCAAATATTTCTGAATATTTTGTATAAAAAGTATACAGTTAGTACTTGTATTTTGCATAACTTGTATTCTTAATTGGTAATAGGTATATGTATGTATTATAATTTACGTTGTGCTTTGATCTTTCATCGGAGAATATTATTATAACGAGAATATAATGTGCATCACTGATACACTATCTTCAAGGAAACATTCTTCACTAAAAGAATAACATTTTAATAAGAGGGTATTCGGACAGTAGTAAGTGACTAATAAATCGTAGTATAATAAAAGTTCCCTGTTCCCATGATAAGATAATTACCATCAATTACATCAGACATGATAAATTCTTCCGATATAAATCTTGACAAATGCAAAATAGATCTTATACTGTAACGATACAGAAAAATAATTAAAGTTCGATGTTCATCTGTAATTAATATCTGTAACAAATACGAAATGAAAAGAACATAGAAAATTCCAAATGAATTTAGAATAGAATATAGAATAGAAAATATTATTTTATGTAAAATCATCTACTTTTTTGATATATGCACAGTTTACTGAACGAGTCTTGGTAGAAACTTGTGGGAACCGGAAAAACCGGTAACAGTGTAGGTAACATTACATTCAAGATCTTCTAGGGATGTTATTATTTGAAAATTTTCCCTAAGTGAATTTCACACGGTTGTTTACTCGCGTTCAATATTTCTCGTAGACTTTAAAGCTTTCCTATCTGAATGTTTTGTCAAAACACAATATTTCTATAAAATTTATCCACTTATGATAATACAGCGAACTACCTTTGTAGTAGATGTAATAGCGGAGCCAGTTTTAAATTTGATACAGTTTTTTGAATAAAGATATTTTGATTTTACGATATTTACTTTATATTAGCTGAATTCGTTTATTTTAAAGTTCATTTTTAAGTTCTAGGACCACCAAATTGGCGTACGCATTTGATGGAAGATCAGGCAACGCGTTTCTTTTTTGGTTGGTTGCCAAATGAAGATTACGTCGGTGTTTTCGTATTGGTTCTTTTTCTGATTTTAGTCGCAGCTATAATCGCAGGATCTTATTATTACATAACGTATGTGCAGTAATTATTTTCACTATCCAATGTATTATTTTTCTTAATGTACAATCGTCTTATATTTTTCAAGCCATAATTTGATGGTTAAAAACTTAAATGAACAAATATATCTTGCAATTAGAATTCGAGAAACTGCGAAACGCATATTTGACCTGAGAAATATAACCAGAAGTCCAAGAGGCACACAATATGAACCACTGACGGACGAAATGACTACCGAAGATCAAGCGATCACTGACGATCAAATAACTACCGACGACCAAGCGACTATTGAAGATGAAGTTACTGAAGACCAAACGACGACCGAAGATCAAGGAACTCCCAAACATCAAACGGCAACCAATGATTAAACTACACGATAAACCATCGCTTTTTTAAGATGCTTAATATAAAATGTTTATTGTACAATTAATACAAATTATTATAATCATATTTAATACAAATGTTGGTAATTTACAATCGGTACACGTTGATACAGTATAGTGTAGTAACAGTATGGATAAAGGATATGATATAAAATTATCTTACAAGACACTACTACGTTTACGAAAATTCCAGTCTACCATTTCTTCGAGTACATTTTTCAAATATCGCCTGAAACAAACATTCTCGTTTACCATTACGTGGATCGATTCCAAAATAAAAACCGAGGAACTGGAAACCTTGGAAACTCGTCAACTCTTCTGTACGATCGAACGCGTGAGAAGACGAACTTCTAATCAGCGAAGGAGCGAGTAATCGCGAGGTAAAAGCGTAGGGATCGGTCCCCGATCGATTTCGTAACTATATTCCTCGGTGTTCCAACGTTTGGTCGTAACGAACGAATAAAAGGAGAGGTTTTCAGGTGACGGGTAGAGCGAACGGCGGCGAACGAGAAGAAGGGCGAGAGAAAGAGATCAGAGTGGCGGCGAGCGACGACGAGGCAAAGTGGAAGAAGAGGATGAACGAGGAAGAAGGAAAGAAGTTGGACACAGGAGGCAGAGGAAGAAGCTGGTTGAAGCGAGAGGGAACGGCGTGGAATCAGGGAGGCAGCCTCGGCTGGTTGGCAGAAGATCGCCAAGGTGCAGGCCCGAGGAAACGCGACGAAAGAAAGAAATAAGAGAGTCCAGAAGGCTGTTAGGTGGAAGAAATGGCGAGGAGCAGGAGAGCGGCGGATAAAAGGATATGGTAGGGCGTGGAAGCGGGAAGATGGTAGGGAACTAGAAGAGGATGGACACGAGCGAGCAGAACGCGCGAAGGAGAAGGAAAGGGCACAGGGAGCGACAGGTGCCCAATCGCCCACGTGGGTTCTCTCTTTACGGTGCTGCAGCGACGGTAGAAGGGTGAAGAAGACGACGATGACGACGACGAGGACGACGAGCCGGCTTCCTTGTAATGGTGAAGCAGCCGATACTCGTTCTATACACCAAGTGCACTCGCCACAGGATGAACATAGTGGGGCAAAGAGATCCATTGGCGTGTATACCGTTTGGCTACTCTTATCTCTAACGAGTCTTGGTCGTATACTTGTTCCTTATGTGAAACGAGAACAGAGAACAACATTACGCGAGATACGAAGACAGTGGAGTCGTTGGAGATAAATAGTCGAACGAAGAGGTCGAACGAAAATGAAAGAAGAAGCGGAAATCGGTAAAAGAACGGTGAAGAGAAGATCGGCAAGAGAGGGCGAAGTACGGCGTCAAAGGATACTAGCAGAGGGCTACGCCACTGAAAAAGTCTGCAGCGGGCCATGTACTGTGGCCATGTGAGTGGGAAAAGAGGTAAGGAAGGGGAAGGGCTACCCATTCGGTAGCAAATGCTGGTAACCCGTCGCAAGGTCAAGATCAGTCGGTTAATCCTATCCAGTCAGCCGAGGCCCTTGCACCTTGGAGGACGAACGACCCTCACGCTCGCAACTGAAATTTCACTTTGCGATCGTCGCACGCCGCACTTGCTCGATTTGCTCCAATTTTTGAAATTGCTCGATCCCCCCGCCCGCAGGGTATATCGATCGATCGTGTTCCTCATTTAGATCTAAGTCGGGAGCGGACACGAAAACGACGTACGACCGGGGAACACGGGACAGTTTCGAGTGCGCTCCACACACAGTGTCTCTCTGTACTTGTATTAAAAAAAACGATTCGAGTGCGTTTCAACGTCGTGGTGGCTTTTCACGAAAATAATTAACATCGTTCCCCTCGAATTCAGAACGTTGCTTTCGCCACCCTCTTCCATCGATCTCGAGTTACCATTTCTCTTGCCGAAAACCACATCTCTGGCAGAGACTGTTAAAAGAAAAAGAGAAAAGGACATCGACGTTTGGTCATTTTGCACGATCGTCTGGTAACAAGCGTTCGATAAAAAAGAAAGAATCGAGGATCTTGTCGTTGTGTGGGAAAAAGTGTTTACAACAGTGGAGACAACGGTAGCTGTGATTTTCCCCAAGCTACCCTTTGCGGGCCCTTTGTTATGGAAACCTGCGTTCTGATACCCAAAGAATTTTCCTTGGCACTAGCGAATGATCGATCGAACTACAAGGGCCTCTTCAAGAATGATTCAGGCGGTTTAGTTACGGACGTCAGGATATCCGTATGGTCGAACGTGCTTATTCCGGCAGGGACGTTGATCTACCCCTTTCAGGGCTCCATTCGATTCGACAAGATCGACCTTTACTCCCTTCTCGATGACAACGATGTAAGTAACGTGTTTCGTCGTAAGATTCTTCCAACTTTCGTTGTTCGGATTCTTGCGATTGATCTTAGCCGTTAATCTATTTCGGTTCTGTATCGAGCTCGTTTCTTTCCGTCGACGAGAAAACCTTACTCTTTGCACCACAGTTTTGTCTGACCTCTCAAACGTTTCTCTTTGTAAATATCAACCATATGCAAGCAATTTTAATAGAATTAAAGAATACAATAGAAGATAAGGAATAGAATTAGTCGACTTTTATCGGTAGAAAAGCTGAAAGTATCGCTTTAATTGTAATTCGGCGTATAATTTAAACAACAAGGATTATATTTCAGCACTTTGAATTATATTTAAACGCTATAGAAATTATAACACATATAGAAATTATAAAACGCTGTATTAATTCTAGCGACTATACTGTATTCACATTTCGCAAATTGATGATTCTAGCGTCGATAGAAATATATAAAATATAAATAAATGATGAAACGCGATATTGAATGTAAATCAGCCGAGATAAAATGTCGGGTGTGACTCGGACTGTAAGGGGCGAGGTAATGCTGGTTTTCGCGTGCAAGCCAAAAATTTGATTAAAAGTTTGAGTATTTCTTCGGCATCGTAAGTTGTTTAGAATATCGATGGAACGCAGCTTACAGTTGGAGATGATTCCGATATTATACAGGTATCGAGTTAGAACAGTCGCAAAAACATTTTCGTGCGTTAAACTTATGGAAGAGTGTGAACGTAAGGTAATAGGGTATAATGGCTAGAGGTATGTGAATAATAATTCTAAACGACCGCTTCTTTCTACGTCTTATTGTGTAAAGAGATCGCCATCTGAGATCTTTCGCTTATGAGATCCAAGTGGAACTAAAGGCTTGCGCTATAACATTTAATAACGAACAGATTCTGGTTTCGTGAAGCATAAGTATGTCTTATAGAAACTCAAATATATTTCATAAATATAGTGTAGAAGAAATACAACAAGTTTTAAGTATAAGTTAGTCTATCGAGTATTAGTCATCGTATGGTCATTTTAATTCGATTTCGCTTTATAATTTTCTTGATCACGGACTTGCCCTCTGGTTATTAGATATCTAAGATAAGGATTCCACGAATTGCACCCTCGTATGAATTTCAAAATTAATTCGTTCGGTGAAACACGAGAAACAGTACAGATCGTAACTTCAAATTTCAAACTCCTTGCTTTATCGAATAAATTAAGCTACGAATTAAAATTTCCATTTAAATGGGAGTTTAAGTATCGATTATGTACGAAAGGAACTAAATTGCTTTAAAGAGTCGAGGCATGTAAGTCTGAAACGTCTTAGAATTAGGATTTATTATACGTAATGCGAATATGTTACATCGGCGTTCGATTATATTTAAATTACAAGACATCGGAATAACTTATTTGCATCCGGTATTGAAAATATCAACATAGTAGTTAAAATAACATTAAAGTGTTTTTTAATTGCTCAATCAACATTTATATACGATTTTCTCAGTCGTTTTAATATGGTATGTCGGCAGAATTTCTGTAGCTTAATGATAATGCCACGTCCTGATCGATTTTAAATAATAGAAAACGAACAGACTAACTATAAGCAGCCACGATAAATATCAAAATACGTAATTGAGTATTAATAAATATGAATAATGTTAAACGGTTAATAAACTTTTATCCATCCAACTAGCTAATATTACGAAATATTACAGGTACAGTAATATCGTAGACTCTGAAATTCACCTGATCGTTATTATTTACTCAGACGTGAAATTAATTTGCATTATGTTTACTTAATAATAAATATTTCTACAAGTTATTAAGGTATAAATCTGAATATACATGTTGAAACAAGGAAATTAACAGTTTTAATTACGGGACATAATCTTTTTATAATTTTTATAATTTATATTTCTATTTTTTATTAAATTTAAATACATTTGATTTCAAATGGTAGCTTCGTAATTACTAATTGCAAATAATTACAAATTACTTTTTCAAAAGCAGTATATCCATTAATTGAATATTTTCTATTTGTTAATTCATTCCTCTTCACACCGAAAAATGATTTTCTCTCTATCGAGAAAAAGTACTTAAGTTAAAAAGGAGAAACTCGTTACCATAACTCGATTTTCTTTTTTTTTTTTTTTTTTTTTTTTAAACG